TATATATATATATATATATATATATATATATATATATATACACACACACACTCTCTGCTCTCTTGACTGAAAGAAGACAATACTCAATTTGAATATAAAGTCCCGATAAGGGAGAATACTGTAACTTATGAGACTAGGATAATGTATATAAATTCGGGAGTATGAACTTCTCTTTATGCCTCGTTATCAAACACATGTAGTTACGAGATCATGCCAAAATGAAGGAAGGGCTTAGCCTTAACATACCTTATCACAATCTTTACAATCACCAAGTTGAACTCGCCTCTTCGCACCTTAATCTACAACAATGATAATAATACTATCATTAAGTTATGAAAGGTACAATTATCGCACAACAAATGACAAGCTTATCTTGTATTTAAACGGGCAACATCTCCCCTATAATCCTTACTTCCTCCAAATTCAAGATAATACCAATAACATAAGAACGCAACAATAACAACCTATATACATTATTTTCCAACCTTATATACACCACAAAATACTATAAAATAGCCCAACACACCCCAATCTCTTCATACACAAAACGACCACTGTAGTAGTGTCAAACAACTCAAAAATATTACGACGAGCGACCAACCCACCACCCTGCATTAGTTTGGTATTTCTACACACCCTTACTTCTCCAAAACTCCACAAAATAGCAGTAAAACACGCAGCCCAACAGCAACACAAAACAGTCCACAAAACAGTCTGTTACAAGTGAATAACTCGAACTTACAACTTCCGATCACCGTCTCATGAGTTCTTACAAATATAGAAGGACTTGCTATGCATCCACATCAGAATAAAATGGATGAAAGAGAGCAGTAAACTTACCTTATTTTTTGGATAACTCAGCTCCTATCTTGGTTCTTCAAACTCTAGGCTTTACCTCCAATTAGAACTTGAAAGGGAGAGAAAATCAATTGGGGTTTGTAGGCAATTTTTGGGAGGATTTTTGTAGAGATTATGTCTGGTTATTTTGACCTATTATAATTATAATATATGAAGGGGATAGAATTTTACAAATGCATCTTTGGACGACCCGAACTGGCCCATTTTTGGATTCTCGTTTAAGAAAGTAGGTGATAGTCTGCGCAGTCTCGCAAAAATGCCCATATATCTCTACTCCGATATCGTATTGAAAAACGGTTTAATGAGTTAGAAAATAGACTCATAGATATTTAATTTGATGGGTGGAACACCTCTTAACTCTAAGTATATTGGGATAAAATCGCAGTTACATTTGACCCAAAGTTTCAGTAAAACTTATGAACGTAACTTGTGATGACTTTTATCGACTTTTGTTCTACCACTCGCTTGACTTCAAAACATAATACACGACTATCATACAACTAACATAACTCATAACATAACCTCCTTATCATGTTAAACACCCTTGTCTCACCCCAAAAGTACATACTATAACATTCCCAACTTGTCGACTTTCGACAAAATATTATTTTCTTCAATTTCTTTAGCTTCTGAACCTTCCAACCATCTTTGTACTTGTTGTTCATGATCTTCAATGTTTGTAACCTCCGAGGTAATATGATTAACTTACTTTATATACTTTCAAAGAGGATCTCATTTTCAAACTTACATCAATTGACTTACGACGTACTTTCATGTACAAAAATATGGGGTGTAACAATTGTTGTTGGCCTTCTACATTTATTGGTTCTGCTACTCTACTCTCATCAACACAAGTAGTGATCCTTTGTTCATTTAGCATCACTGTCTTCCCTTGGTTAGTTTTGTGTGCAGGAGCTAACATAACTCATGTACTCTTCCACACTTGCTTCACAGGTTGTGGCCTATTTCTTTTGGGTTGCTGAATTTGTTTGACCTCCTCCTTGCGAGCTTTTGTACAATCATGATCAATTTTTAAGCATTTCCCACAGAATTCAGGTTTCCAGTCATATTCCACTGTCTGATCAAAAAGCCTACCTGAGTCATCCATAATAGAGTCCTTGCTTGGAAGAGGTTTAGTGACATTCACCTCAATGAGAATTCTGGCATAAGAGATTCTAGTTTATTTGGCAATGCACTCATCTGCAAACAGTGAAATTCCTATTGTGCTTGCTATTCTACTTAATGAGCTACCTCCCCAGCAGTTCATGGAAAGTTTGGGAAATCTAACGCACAGAGGAATCTTAGTTAAAAATTCAGCATCAAAATCAAATTGTGGACTCCATTGTTTTATTATCATGGGCCTATTGTTGACTGTGTAAGGTCCCTCACACAGAATTTTCTTCATATCGGCCATGGATTGAAACCTAACAATGTAGTAACCATCGTCATGAGAATAGAGCTCTAGCATAGTGACCGTATTCCACATCTGGTTTATATATCTATGCATGTAGTTATACCCTGGCTTTTCCCCAATTACATAGATGATTAGGGCACATTTCCACTACAAAGTTTCAGCTTCTAAATCTGATTTCTCAAGTTTGACCACAAGATTACCTGCTACTAATTCAGGAGTAATGTAGTGCAAATTTGCAGTTGATCGATTACCATTAAGGCCCCCAGCCCAAGCTGATTTCCTGGCAATGAAACAGTAATGTGTTATGGTGATTGAATCTCAACTTCATTCTTCTTTCCCATAGTAGCATCAGCTGATTTTGAAGCTTGATTTCCAGCTTCCAGCTCCTTGCCCAATGGAACAGTAACATCCCTAGATGGAGGAGGTGTTACACTATCTCTCAAGTTCACTTGCATAGGAATAAGGCTTTGATTTGCTCGTTTCTGCTATTGACTTGCAGATGCAGAGTCTCCGATATAAGGGGTCTGGGTAAGTATTCCACCTCCTACCTATGTTTTGAAAGTTCCAAAGATTGACTCCATGACTGCAGACGAGATACTTCCGATGTTTTTGAGCTTAAGTATTTTGTCATCAACCTTGATCTTTACTGTCATTGACGAGGTCGATGCACATTAGCTTAAACTGTGCCGAGAGAGGGAGGAAAAAGGCGACAAATGCTCGATTTGGCCTATCTGTTAAAATAAATATGCCTTTGCTGCTTTCTCCCTTTGCCAAAATAATTTTCGGGAAAACTACATTGTATAATGATTTTCAAAAAATAATATAGTCGGTAAAAATATATATTTTTGTATATTAATATATAATAAATATATTTTATATTATATATAATTAGTATATATATTTTTAATATATTTAGCTAACGAATATAATTATTTTTGATAGATAGGCTAAATACGTTACTTGTCCAAAATTTTCCAAGAATTGGGATTCTGCAATTGACCTCCCATTATCATCAGGGTTTAAGAGCTCTCACTCTTTCTTCATTTCTTCTTCATCAGCCCCATAACACCCCCAACCAAACATCATGAACACCTTAAACCCTTTCGCCGCAAAAACAAACCATTTTCATAACCAATTCATTCCTTCATTCCATCAACATTGCTCTCTGTTAACTAAACAACCCCTTAATAATTCTCTTTCCTTTAGAACTCCATTACCACCATCTTTATCCTCCTCTTACTTACCCATCAAATCATCCTCCTCAAATCCTAAAGCCCCTAAACCTAAAACCTTCAAATCATTAACTCCACTCTCTTTCCTTAAACCCACACTAATCTCCACCATTACAGCCACTGCACTTTTCTTCACCGGATTCTATCTCAACCCTAAATCAGCCATTTCTACCCCGCTATCTCCCCCACCGTCTGCGGACACAACAAGTGTAAATGAAGAGAATACCGAAGATGCCCTCAAAGAGGAGCTTCTCTCTAACCCCGATGATGTTGATACAACTGCAAATGAAGCAGTCTCAGACAGTAATACCGAAAATGCCCTCGAAGGGGAAGTCCTCTCTAACCCCAAAGGTGTTGAAGTCTTGAGAAATATGTTAGAAAATCACATTAAGAATAGAGAATTAGTCGATGCCCTTAGCATATTAAACAAGTTAATTGAGCTCGAGCCGAATGAGACAGAGTGGCATTTCTTGAAATCTCATTTGTATGTTCATAATGGGGAGCTGGAATTAGCCAAAATAGGTTTTAGAGAAGTAATATTGAAAGATCCTTATCACGTTGAAGCTTATCGCGGGCTTGTTGTGGTGGCAGGATCAGAAGACGAATCGACAAAGGAAATGAAGGAAATAGAGAAAAAAGTTGCGGAGGGAATTAAAATGTGTGAGGAGGAGAATAGGAAGGATGAAATGAGGGATTTTAAGCTCTTGCTTGCGCAAATATGGGTTATTGAAGGTAAATATGATGATGCGTTGAAGGTTTATCATGAGTTAGTCGATGAGGAGCCGAGTGATTTTAGGCCTTACTTGTGTCAAGGTATGATATATACAATGTTGAAGAAGAACTACGAGGCTGAGAAGTATTTTGAGAAGTATCGGGGACTGGTACCGCGTGAGAATCCTAATGCTAGGTTTGAATTTATGATGTCGACTTGATAGAAACGAAGTTTTCCAGTTGAAGTTGACATTCTGTGATTGAGGTATGGTAGGCATTGAGTTGCATTGTATGTTTGTAGTTCGTTTATATTTTGCTTATTATATGTTTAGATTTTTTTTAATCTCGGGTTTTAGAATGTAGGCTTTTATATTTAGTTGTAGGAACTAGGTTCGAATGAAAATATTTGTAATTTAGTGGAATGGAGCTCGAAGCTATTTTACATTTCAGATGGTATTTTGAGTGACAGGATGAACTATATAACTTAATTAAAAAAAGCAATATTCAATAATACTTCGTGAAATTATCTTTTCTCTAATTCAATCATTCCGCTCAATTGCTCCAAGTCCTATATGTCGTGAGCTGTGACTTCTGAGGCTGAAGACAAAGATTACATGGGAAAAGTTTGTTGCTACCGATATGTGGGAGCAGTGAGGGTATATTCTGCTTTGCTGAAACAAGTTTTGCCATTAGTGCAGGGTGCTTGCTTAAGTAATGCTATTCATACCATACTACACCTTTAATCCTAGTACTCACTGGGAAATCTGAGTTAATTAGAGATTAACATGACCCCAGTTTCTTAAAAATGTTGAACACCTACTTATCAAAAAAAATGTCGACCACCTTTCATTCTGAAAATTATCTGAAATAGATGGTAGTCGTTCAACTTCAGATTAGATGGAGATTAAACTCAATAGACCAATTAAACCTATATACGCTTTGTTGTTTTGCGAAGTGAACTCAAGAGTCTGTCTTTGAAGAAAAGAAAGTCACGATTCTTTGTTCTTTAGGTGTTCTGTGTTTCATTTGTATTTTAATTATTCCATGGTACGTTTTGGGGGTAGATTGGAGGTCTGGACTAGATCCTTTTTGTAATTTATAATTATCTTGGGGATTTGCAGGATTACAAGGTTAGTATGATCATCAAGATAAAACATTTCATGTTCCATATAGTAACTTATCTGGTCTTTGTTATATATGTTAAAAGTTCATTAGTAGATACTATGTTGATCTTCTCCTACATGGTTTTTTCTGTGAATAGCCCGCTAGAAATTCATTGCTCTTTTGTTCTTTGGTTTAGTGTGTTTATGTTGTTAGTTGGTAGTTGTTGGTTGAATATAGCTTAATTAGCAAATGAGTAATCGTTGGTGCTGGCTGCAGATCTTGTTCGTGTTGTGCGTATTTTCTATTTGTCAGTTTGACTTTGTGGTAAGATCAAGTACCCAGTGGCATACTGCTTGATAAGTGTAGGCTAGGATTTCCTTGCCAAGAAAAGTATAGGCTGAGATTTAAGGTTGTCTTGTATTTTCCATGTATCAGTTTTGGTTTTAGGCCAGTTAATTTGACATCATGAAATTTATGTAGATCATGATCGAGTCCAATGATGCTGTTTTCTTTTGTAAGTCTTGAAGTTTTCTGTTTAGACCGAATCTAATAATTTAACCCTAATAAAGATTTGATTATGTATGTGTGGATTAACTGATATAGATGAAGGAAGCTTGCTAACTGATACTCCTTCCGCTTCATTTATCTGTTCGACGGAGCACAAAGTTTTTTGAAACTTGTGGTCTATAAATATGCTATAACATTTGTGGGACTATGAAAGCTTTTCATTTTCAGGTAAAATGGGAAGTTTTTAAGTTAAATTATTTCCAAAAAAAAAAGTGTTATTCTCTTTGGAACAAATTAAAAAAAAAATAGGGTCACAGAATCTGAGACGGAGGGAGTAGCAAATAATATTGCACACTTGGCTCAGAAAGTTAAAAGGAAAGAGAATAAAAATGTAAGAGGGAGCTTCTCTGAGAATTATTACTACCAGATTCCTTTTCCTTTCCGAGCAGCTGAGGATACATTCTTTCAGTCGTATCTGCAACAAGAAAACTTTGGAACAATGCTGAATTTAACGGAAAAAATTACTCATACCTAGTGTTCGCACCAAGAAAATAAATGTAATTAAATTGCATATAAAATTTTGGTTATGTGATATGTATTCTCACTTCAGTCTTGTGACTCTTGTGAGTAAATTGCCTGGTTTGGTTACAAGTATTTTTTTTTCCGACGAGTTTATCCTGGGACATGTGGTAAAGTAAGTAGTCAGCAAAAAAATTTCCATGAAAATCAAAAAGTTCAACAGCACCACAATGAAGATGATAAAAAAATCCCAGGATATAATTTCCTTTATCTAAAGCACATAAACTTAAAAATTTACATAAGGTGAATAGTTGCTGGACTTGGAGGAACATTATTATCTATGTTGTCATGAGACAGTACCAACTGCTGCTTGACATCTCTCATGAACTCAGAATTACTCAAATTAACTTTGTCTGAAGAAGCCAGTGTTGGTGTCATAAGCTGTGCATTCTTCACCTTTGAAATGCTTGCAAGAACCCCTAATGGTGTCACATCCCCAATAACCGTTACCTTTTTCGCAGCAAAATCTATGTTGAAAGATGTCACGCCTGCACAGTGCAAAAGATATTTGCACGATCAGATTGCTTCTTTTTTTTTTGATAAGGTTGCACGATCAGATTG